CATGAATTTATAATTATAATAAAATATTTCGAGACAAGAAGAATAAGGCTTGTGCAGTTGAAACGCATTAAATCTAGTAAAGAGTAAGCTGGCTCATCAATGTTTGGTGCTTGTTGAAGAAGCTCAACGGTTGCCTTTCACTGTTGGCTTCGTCTTCCTTCATTGGTGCTATGAGAAGCAATGAGCCGGAAGATAATTTCCCCCGCTGAGAAAGAGACAGCGCAAATGCAGCATCAATGATGGCTACCAACGCTAACGACCATTATTACCATGATAATGATAATGATGTTGATGGAAATAATTGAATGATAACGATAGGCTAAACAATGGCAATATGAAATCGATGATGATGGTGACGTTCGTAGTAGCAATGATAAAACTAGTGATGCTAAATTTGATGAGCATTCAAAATAGTCAACAATGAGCTTTGAAATTCGCATAAAAATTTTAGTCAAAAATGGTTGGTGATTATGCTCTTTTTACTTTCAAAACTTAGGAATTTTTCAATTTTATTCTAAAAGTCAATAACTTTACAATAGTAATTTCAAAAAAAATTTTGAATGGTTTTTTTTTTTTTTTTTTTTTTAATTGAGAAAAGCACAGGTCACGATAAATAAGAGAAGAGAGGGATCATTGGTCGTTATTTGATATGGTTAAGTGATGATGTTTACTGATTATGGATTAGATCCAGTGTCGCGATAAACGGGCATACAGGTGTCAAATGCATTTATACCTCTCTGAAGAATCATCTGTTTGTAAATAATTAACACTTTACCATTAAGAGACATATAATATCTCCGTTAGATAATCTTGGCAGTGTTTAAAAAATGAAATTCATATTATCAGAATTTTTTTTCTGGAGTGCTTTACTATTCTATAAAACAAATATTGTTGTTACATGGTCTTCATTAGTCTCAAGAGTTTTCACTTAATTTTCAAAATTTTTAGAAGTTACAGTACTTGGTATGTAGTTGGGAGGAGGGAAAGTCTTTAAACCAGTAAAATGAAAATTTAGAACAAAATTTCTCAATGCATTGTTTTCTTTTTTGGTGATGAAGGAAAATTCAGAAAACTTATTGGAGCTAATCCTAACATTTGCTGACTTGAATCATAGTTGTAAAAATAACTAAATGTTAAAAGTGAGGTGTGACAATTGTTAAAGTAAATAAATAGGTAAACAAGAAAAGAAAACTCTCATGCCGCTTTTTCAGTGACCAACATCTATAACTTCTTTCTTGCGTACGATTTGATTTGAGCCCACACGTCGATTAAACTCTATTACATTTCATTCGTCATACTTACACCAATTCCTGGTAAATATTTTGTGAAATTTAAGAATTCGAAAAAATAAGGTTGCTGAGAACACTTGCTTAGGTTTATCATTTCTGCAACTTTTATTATACATTTTAACTACGAAACTTGTAAAACTATAATTAGAATATTCTATAACGAAAGCTTCTTGGCAACCGTTAGAGTGAATGGTTTGATGCTCCTGGCCATTGTGCCAAGAACGGCAATCCGTGTTGTCCACATGCCCTTCTATCCAACACTATATTTATAGACGTTCCGTGTGATATGAAATAAAACAGTCCCCAAGGATTTATCATTCAATTAGGATCAATCATTGTGAACAATGTTATGAGTAAGCAGCATCATATGTCTCCTAAACAACCAACTTATCTCTTATACTTTCCCCATCGAGCTTGATGGGTCAACAGCTTCTGTTGCGCTATTTCAAATTACAACAAAAACTTACAATTCCGTAAGTTAAGAAATTGAATCCTATATTCAAGAGACATTTATTCAGTATTTCTCTAATCAATGATAAAATTATTTCACAAAGAATATGTAAGTAAATTTTTGCTGATTAATACTGTATCAATCCATAAATCGGAGAATTGTGGTCATTCATATTTAATAAGAAATGTTGACTTATTGCTGTTTTTGAGTTTCAAGTTCGAAAGACTACAACTTGATAGAAATACGAAATCCAAATGTTTGGAACGCGCCAGAGATGAAAACGGAGGATTCGAAGGAGTACGGTAAATTGAACAAAACGAGTTGCAGACAGTGTTCTGAATGCCTGTATCCATCTGTGCTATAGGGGAAGGTTATGTTTGTCGTTACTTTGTCGCATCGTGAAAACGGGGATGAATAGATGATAAACAGGCATGTAATGCCACAGCAGGACACGTGGTCGAATATGTTTGTCGGCACATACACATACATACCTGTGTATGTCTATGTATGTGTAGGTGCCACCAACATGTGATAACAATCACAAATGGGTGAGATTTGATGACGAACAACCACGACAATGACACTCCGATGATGGTAAATATAGGATAGTTCATTTATTGAAACAGAATTTGGACCCAAATGAATTAGTTCTAAGTTTGGCACGAATATGTCTCAACCTCGTCCGTTCTCCCTCAATAAATGTGCCTTACTCTGTTAAAATTCATCATTGACAACTTCCTCCTTTCCATCCTCTCCTTCCTGAATCCTGTTTTATCAGTTTCTCCAACAAATCGTTTCCCATTTCTCCTGCTTTGTTCATTCTCATAAAAGATGTACAAATACATGATTGAAAGAATACATACACGAACTGCATTATTGAGTACATTTTGAGGGGATAGTTTTCGATTTTCATCTTCAGTTGTCAATTAGTCCTAATATTCTACATTTCTCACGAACCGCTTTTGCAAGTTAATTAAAATGGATAGAACCATTTAATACCTTGCTCTCTCCAACCTTTTTATAGCTCAGCATTTGAGAACTATCCTTGTCCTCCATTCAAGCAGTTATATCAAAACAGCCAACTACAATTCTGGATATTCATTGAACGTAGTGAAAATAAGGTCAAAATGAAATAAATGGTGGAAACTTAACGAGAATGAAGCTTAGTGAGACCTAAAGTTTATGGAACTAAAATCTAAATTTTGATGTCATTCAGGATAAAAAAAGATCAATGCTTGGTATTAAAAATGACGAGATTTGTCGTCGAGATTTGTGGTTCTGCGACAGTTCAAAATGAGCATTCTTCGCCCATTTTGAATAAACGATATTTGACAAATGCAAATGCGATGATGGTCGACGATGTCCTCCCAGCTGTCCATATCCACGCCCTCCAGTCTTTTATCTTTCTTCTTGCTTTCCCTATTCATACTCTAGACGAGTGGAACCTTATGAATCCAGCCGGTACAACTCTTCCTCTCACAGATCACCATGACTCTTCCTTGATAAAATTAAAGTTAATCTTAATTAACTCACCTGCTTGGTCATTAATGACTCACCGACCTGGTTACAAACCAGAATTTCTAAAATGACTACCCAGCACCATATGGTGTCATTTAAATAGTGCAAAATATGCAAATTATGGAGCTTATTTCACTCACATGATGGACAATTGGAAATGCATCAATACATATATGATAATTTGTTACTAAGTTCTCAGTATGAAACTTCAAGATGTAATACTACAAGATTTTGCTGTAAAAATTCTGGAGTGTCAAATGAATCAATATCTAAGTGCAATATGCTGAGGACTGCTGCTGATAATTTAGATATTAATTTATTCATTTTAGTAGCTCTTTCATATAACATAAATAGGCGACATGACATTTTGCGCTAAATATTGATGGCTTGAAAAGAGAGATGGGTAAAGTAGGAAAACTTACTTCATTTGACCTTTGATCCCAAAATTCCAACAAGTGTATGGCAGGCATGTTGCAGTACTCTTCTTTTGATGCTATTGCTATATTAGGCTGTGAAAAAAAATAACTGATTGACATTTTATATTTATCTATTTTTCTTAGTAAGGTGATTGACGTCACCTGAAATGTTACAAGCTTCTTTCATCCGCTCTTTTACTTTTCATTTAAAGGTTCTTAAAGTGTACGGCCTTCTAACGATAACTAAAAGTCAAAATAGAGCAATTAATCAAAATTTCGATTTTTCATTTTCTTTTTTCAAGAGTGTGACGAAGAAAAGATGTGTGGAGAAAAATAGTGCACCGGTCGTACAGAAATACTATACTCATTATATTATGGGCAAAGACTATAGGCAAACTTACCCGACAAATTCGTGCATTCATAATTTTATAATCAAGACCAATCACTAAATTTCGTTTTATGTAACATAATTGTGGAAACAAAATCGGTATATTATTTTTGTAAAAGAAATAACAATATTAGGCGAGATTGGTTCAGCAGTGGAAATCATTTCTTTTTGGTCGACTGTATCCGAATCTTTAATGTTTCATCTTTTGGTTTTAGTACTGCTAAAGCAACCGAAGTTATTGAAATTCTAAATTTGCTTCTCTAATTATGTTACCGCTATTTCGCATCGATTACTCGAGATGTTGAGTTTTTTTTTTCGCCAGTAACAAAGATTTCTTTTCCCTATAAACTGCTGAATTTGAAAACCTATACACGCCAACACTGCCATAATTTCTATTGGAGCTGTTCAAAACGTTAGTTAATGAATGGCTAATTTAAAGAATATTTGGGTGGTAAAAACGATGCTTTTATTTGAATTTTCGAGATAATTTATTTAGTTCATGAGAAATATGACTTGGACATTTCATCGTATTGGTGTAATAACTTCGAAGGGTGGAAGAACGAATGAATCAGAAAAATATTATTATAATATGCCAGATTGTCCGAATTACTGATATTTCAGCTAGCTGTTCTTGTAAACAAATTGCTTTGTTACTTGTGTTAGAATCCCAAACGTGATCGCTCCTTCCGAAAACTATTTATCAGCACCTATTTGCAATGCCACTGAGATAGCTCTTTTTGATTTGAGTACAGTCATGATGCATAAATTTTGAACTTTATGGTCACATCAACTACAAAAACTTTGAATTTGTCTACGATGGCTGTTCAATACAAATCATACAATATTGCACTGAGATTTGAGCCTAGAAAATATTCCTTTTGAAGAGGAATTTTTTTATTACAATCTTGCAATCTTTTCCATTTTCTGATCTTTTATGAACATTAGATGATTCTGCTTCTTTTTTTTTTGGAATTATTAGTGAAAGATGAACAAATCGTGGCAAAATCAGTATAAAGTTATGCTGCTCCAGTGCTAAATAAATAATTGCTTTCCTAAATGCTTTCATACCTGTTAAACTGTTTCAAGACCAGCTAATGGATCGTTAGCACCATTATATATTTCTAAAAGATTTCTGTTAGGCTGTCTCAGAAAACATTTGGAGAAGCGACTTGTAGTATTTTCTGAATTGGTAGGACGTCTTGTTACTGTCACCACTTAATTGTCGAAATGAAACTGTGGAATTGCAATTACCAAATAACAGATCAAATTAAAAAACGAAGACTATCATCATAAATCAGTGAATTTTCGTTTGATTGAAAGATTCCGAATTAAAAGGAAACAAATGCATTGATGATGCCAAAAATCCAAAAACTGTCTCAATCAAAAAAAATCTAGATAATTTCTGCTATCCTCCCGCCATATATAGAAATGAGTTCTGCACTATTGATTTAATCACCTAATTGTCGTAAATTATGAAAAGCTGACGGATGCAATGACATTTATCATATAATAATACTGAGAAAGTGGTTATTTATACTATTATTGTTGTTTCATAATCTCTAGACAAGTGCTGCAGTAACACTTGTTTCTGCTTGTCACTAATATGATCCCAAAATAATGCATTCCTCTGGTAATGACCAGAAATGTTAACTCAAATACCAAAACTACCCGCAACATGCAAAATATATAACTTTGAAAAAGCTACCAGTAATACCATGATCAAATTTATTAAGTGGAACATTGAAATAATTAATATTATAAGCCTTTTTTGAAATTTAATAACTAGAAATTTTATTTAATCGTTTTGCTGGATCACCACGAAAAAGCATATTCCATGATCAAAGAGTTTTCGAAATATGACGGTGATAAGGCGGCAAATGTTTTAAAAAAAACATTATTGATAAAGTTCAAAGTGTCAATAAACTTCATAAATCTCGCAATTCTTCATTTTTACCTTTCATGAAAAGCTTTTTATAAAATAAGCACAATAACTTGTTTTTAATCATATGAGGTGTTTTGCAGATTGTCAAAATTTTGGGCATAAATTCATGCAATTCTTCAGATCGATTTTCAAATCTTTTGGTTCACTCAGTTTCATATTGAAGACTTTGACCTGTGATGACTCTAAAATGTTTATTTGAACTGTAGTAAAATAAACTTAACACTCTTATAGTGCTTTATTAAGTTGATAATCGTTTCAGTTTCATTAAAATTTATTTACTTATCACCTTTGACTAGCATAAGCAGGCAACGTTATGGTAGCTGAGAAACTTTTGAAATTGTTTTGAAAAACAGTATGTCTGCGAATACATCCAAAAAATTTAAAAAAAAAGTTATTTAAGAAAATTAAATCTCTTTTTTTTAAAAAAAAAGTCATTTAAGAAGAAAATTAATTATTTTATATATTTCAAATCATACAAATTCATTTAAATATTCTGCTGTATCGGAAATCTACGGCATAGTAATGGAAAGAAATAAATTTTCTGCGTCAGACACGTGAATGTCTGTTGTACCCCCTGCCAGGTCAACAGTTCAAAATGAATTTAGAGTTGGATAAAACAAATGCAGTGGTCACAGTTGTATAAAAGCGAAAGGGCGGAATGATGCTTTAATGTATGCAAATGATGTTGGGAGAGAAGTTGTTGCGAACGGCATGGGATATGGATCATAGAGGTATTTAGCATCCCTTTAATTAGAGCTCAAACGCATAAAACTTATTTCTTCGGTGCAAGAAATGACTGACCCGAAATTGATGGAAAGGTTGAAGACAGGAGAAAGAGGAAACAGTTAGGAGGTCAGGGTTGGCGAGCTAGAATGCTTCACATGAACGATTTACCGATTTATGTTGTTGGTGGTCAATTACTATTTCACTTGACACTTCAAAGCTCTGGAACCGTCTTTTAGTTGATGTTATCAGCACCAACTTTCTTAGCCTCTCTACGCAATGTACTTTCATGTTCTTTACCGAAATGAAGCTTTACTTCAGTGACAATCCCGAAATTATGCAAAAATAAATCATTCGGCAAGTTTACAAGCTCTTTTTTATGTCTTCCCAGTCTAAATTTCAAAGATTCTGCAAAGGATCCATAGATATGTTATCGTGGTTCAAATGCACATCCACTGGAAAGAATAGACCGAAATATCCTTTTTAAATTTCTGTATTTTAAATTTTTAGAAATTTGTGAGCAAATTTTTTTGTCTGCCACTGTAATTACGATTGCTTTGAAGGATACGCAGACACCACTGTATTACACTTAGTTAACAATCTTTGCATTAAATAGCCTCCCAAATATGATGTGGGAAAAACCATTTGTTAGAATCACCGGGAAAGAATACCCATAATGCTGGTTATTTTAAGTGAGTCTAATTTTACCTGTGCAATTATAGCACGACTGGAAAAAAAGCAAAACTCGAAAGTTAAATTTCACTCTTGCTAAAATTGTTTTGAAACAATAAGATTTTTACAATGAGATGAAATTCCAATTAAAGATGCTAAAAATAACGGGAAACATTCCCAAATCAATAGTTTTTATGACAAGCCCAAATAATACATATTTGCAGCACTCTTCATATCAATTAACGCTCAAATAAATTTGCTGCTAATGAAGAATAGAATCTTGACCGACCTAATGAAACCATTGCATTTTAGATCTGAGCCGAAAATTGTTTTCTCAACACGGAATGTCTCGATAACTATTGCGTAACCAGTTCTGTTTAAAAATATTTGTATGGATTAGTTTTCATCATCTCATTCTCATAGCAAGCTTCATGAAAAAGCAATGCTGTCGGAAGAATCACCATTACCACAGTTTAAGATTTTACAATTCCCTTTCATTTATTTCAGGAATATTTCCGTCCCTTATTATAGTATTTCCCACCAGTTTTGGCTCCTTCTCTTATGTTCTGTGCATGATGATCCAAACCTATACTCTTCATTGATGCTTTGCCATCCTATTCTAATAGTGGAGCCATGCCCAGCTATCATGATCATTGCACTTCGTCATGACTTATAATCACAGTTATATAAATGTCGAGTTACAGTCATTTGCAAACACAACAACAGTTTGATTTCTAAATATGGCCATTTTATAAGGACTATAAAAGATCAGGTCAAGCATTATGGGCTTGGACCTGGAGCGGGAATCTTGCATATTTTGGAAACTCCAGCTGCTGGAGCTCATTTCTTCAACTAAATAATTGCCAGTCTCCATTCCTTAATATGTACCCATAGTAAACCATCTGAAAAGAGAAAGTTGCGCAGCATTGGCAACAGTCCATAATTCATTGGAAACAGTCCATAATTCTGGCAAGCATAAGCCAGCCTTCATTAAGTCCAGAAATTTCCAATAGCTTTATGAATTGTAACATGAACATATCTACGACCACAACATGAGGCTTTTCTTGAAACTAAACACGAACAGAAATTCAGTAGTGTAGATGATAAATAACAGTTACGAATAATTGCTGTGCAATTGACATTAACTCCTACTAAGATTTGGAACTGTTTAAAATACAGTAATATTTCATTTGTAAACGAAATACAGAATGCAAATTTTTGGAAACAGATGATATCATTTGAGGATGTTAAATATGAAATATACACACTACAACGGACAATAAAGCACAGAAATCTTAAGTGAATTGAATGAGAATGTAACTATAAGCAATATTTCGGGAATTGAAGGGCTCGAATTCCGAAAAAATAAACAAACAGCAACTCGCAATATTTTTCACTGTATTTCGGCTCATCTTCTAAAATTCATACTAATTAACAATCTGAAGAGCAAAACAGTTGAAAATGAACTGAAATGAAATAAGACATACCTGCAATAAAGAAATTTGAGAAACGACTATTTTGAAATCTTAGCAGTTCCAACTTTGAGATCATAAAAATTTCTTTTAGACTTATTATTCATTTGCAAAACTCTACGGTTGGTCGATCTATTTTACTGCAAAATTACCATTTGTTGAATAAAATCAATTTGAGATGATGACTAACAACGAACAGATTACAGAAAATATCGAAAAACACAATTACAGAAATTGTCCACAACCTTATGAGCAGCGAAAAATGTCACACCCCGGGTAATTTAATGGAAAATGAGATATAAAAATATAAATCATTGATTATGATAGAAAGTGAATACATCGTACCATTAAATTATTAAAATTGATGCAAATACTGCTTTTTTTCAAGAAGAAATGTATAATTTCATAAAACTAGAAGGAATAAACAATCTCCAACTATCGAAGAAAAGGATTAGAAACGCTCAGAGATCACTTTTAATTACAATTAACTAAGAAAAATTTGGTATCAATAAGCTCTTATATTCCACTATTTCTGATCCTAGACGACAAGTGACTGAAGGAGTACAGGAGAAATGAAAAGTGAGGCTTTTGAAAGCCGATGATTCTAGAAATCATCAGAATTATCAACTCGTATTATCCCCTTCCAATAAGCCAAACAATAACATGAGGTCTTGCTTTATACGGATATAGTTTCAGAGATTCTAAACGTCTCAGTTTAGCAGGTATAAGGTTTTCAGTACTGTAGAAAAGGTGAAATGAGACCTGGTACCATAAACCAAATTCCTTTTTATGAAATCACTGATAAAGAGATAAACAGTTAAACAAAACAAAGGAATTGTTGCACTTTTAATTGACGAAGACGAATAAAATAGAAAACAGTTATTGACGGCGATAAAAGTAACCGGTGGATAACACCTATGGCATACGCTGTGTGAAATGCGTCGTCATTTGAATATTACTTTAACATAATCAGTTCTTAATTTTATGCAAGCTTATTCTTTTCAACGCTGAGTAATGATGACGTATACGAATTTCGTTCACATCTGCAGTTCATACCCAGCTATCACCACCCGTTGGGCTACGACGTTCACTGCGCTTATGCACCGAAGCGTACAGTGGTTCACCAGCCTTAAAATTCTTTTTTACCTAGGACATACTCTAATTTACTTGGTAAAGGAGATAATTAAAAGGGTGGAGAGGGATAAAATTTATTCAAGTAAATAAGCGCAAAAAGATTGTACTTCTGAAAAAAGATCCAAACTTCGTTTGCCAATTTCAAATGGAATCAGTTGTTTAACGATACAATAACAATAACAAATTTGCAGTGTTTTGTTTTGGCATTAAATTAAATTCTGGACACTATCATACTAGCATTATTTTAGTAATATTGAGATATTATTTTTGAAGAATAAACCTGGTTATGAGATCTAAACGAGTGCATTCCACTATTGCGAGTTTGTAGAGAAAGATTTTGTGGATTACTCTCAGGAGAAGTCTTGTCATATGCACAATCTTCTGGTGCACTGGCCTGCAAGAAGAGAAATTTGTCAAATGGATACTAAAACAGGCATGCTTTTAAATAAGTTTGCCAAAACAACAAGGATTGATTCGCGGTATCCCACATATTCAAGGAAAGTTATGACTTTAGCAAATCACAAAGTTTCATATCCTAAAAAACAATTATGTGAAACGTCAATCAGCATACCCTACTATCCAATGTATCGTATCTTCCGGCACCGTATGTGCTCGCACTGTCATCAAGATTTTCATTTTTTAAATGTGTTGGCCGCTCAGCGCCTTGTGATGATATCGGTCGAGAGAGTGTTGTTGCATCACGGGCACGGATTGTTGTTCCAGAATAGAAGTCTGATTCTTTCAAACCGCTCCGTCTGAAGCCATCATGAAGTTCTCTGTGCTGCCACATCAAGTAAAGAACCTGTAAGACCATCAGCAATATTATCACCCCTTATCTAAGACATCCGGTGAGTTGTGGCCTTGCCAACGTCTGCTATTTACTCATTTGATCGTTACCGAATCAAAAGTCTATTCATAAAAGGAAGTATAGACAAAAATGACGGGTTGCCACTAGTAGCGAACTGAAAAAGTCAAACAAGGATAACTTAGACAACCTGTGATGCGTATTTGCAAATACGGGTGCTATATATAGGATGTGAACTAGCTAAATTTCGCAGTCGGTCGGTTCCTCCGCATTCATGGATATTTCTGAAACAATGTATGGATTTAATATGGAAAGTTACGCTCACTTCGTTTTCAAGTGAGGATGATATCTAAAATAATCTTCAAATAATTCAAACTTTAAAAATCTGACTGGTGAAGCTCAGAAAGATCAAGAACCTTGTAAAGTCTGCAGAATGCTTGACAGTTTCAAATAATATGCCCAAAATTGCACCAATTGTTGCATCGCTCACATTTGGATCTCGAAATTGTTGGTCAGCTCGAGGTAACTTTGCCACTAGATCTTTCATCGCATATTTGCCGATCAGTTCGCGATTTCGCTACAACAGATGCACCCTTGCATTTGTACCGCATTAATAAAAATCATATAAAGCTTGGCAAGGAATAGTGGTTAAAAATCTGGTGCGAAAATCATTAACTAGATAAATTTTAATAAAGCGCAAATATCGACCTGATCAAGCGATAGATTACGTAGAGCTGTTGTTACAGCGCAAACAACTTTGTCGTCATTCAGTCTCAATAGTTCCACAAGCACAGGCAAACCTTTTTCTGTACGAATACAGGCCCTAACATTAATCGATGGTTCGAAGTGGCACGCAGCAAGGTTCTGTATTGCACCAGCAGATGCCTAACAAAACCATACAAAACCATATTTATCAAGATTTACTAATGAATAACAGAAATTTCACGTTTCGATCGCAATAGAGCTTACATATTTTAAATAAATGCGTACCCGTAAAGAAGAGGGATAAAAACGACAACCTCTAAACAAGTACTCATAAACAATACCTCCAGAATTTCAGGGTTCGACGTTTCCTGCAACAACTTCAAATATAGTTTCACGAGCTGCGGTTGCCATAACAACTCCACTCCCTACAAAAGCTCTTTAGAACTGATTTTATTCACTCATAAACAAATCATGAATTCAGAAAAAACTCGAGGGGGAAGAAACAGAAGCATGTTGTACGTCCTTTATGCCACAAGATACTTTTCTATAAATAACATTGGTACTTTTTAATCACAGGAAACAACATAAATTACCAAGGACACTGAAATGAAAAAAGGTACCGCCACACTTTCTGATCCATTCATTGCAGTACTTTGTCCAATTTTCTTCTTTTTACTAGACTCTTTCTTTCTGTTTTTGGGACTTTCTGAAGGAGCCGATTTACTGCGCTCCCTCTGCATAGTTTCAAAATCAGCTTTAGGATCGTAATTTTCGTCCTTCACTTCTTGGATTCTAGAAAGATATAAGTTGTTTGTTACTGTAATTTTTTTAAAGGGCAAGAATTAACGTGAAATAAAACATGCCGGTAACTAAGATTGCGTAAAGTGCACACAACATTCTCGACAGTACGTGTATCAATCTGATTTCTCAAAACTGCATGATGCAAATAGTGTACAAAGCTTTCGATCAAACCGGGACATCTACGAAGTATTTTTCGGGCATTTGAGGAAGCAGCCGAAACATTCCTGAAAATCCACGTCTTCTAATTCCAAATCATCTTGAAAATCATAAGCTCTTTATGGAAATGAATGAATTCGTTACAAGATTTAAATAAAGTGATGTTGTAAAGCTTTTTTGAAATAATGAAATTTGCCTTAAAACACCAGTTCCGTTTTTGAACATGTTGATGCTGTGTGACATATTACGTCCACTTTCCGCATTACTCCCAGTTAAACCAGAACCAGGTATAACAATACGCTGATTTATTGGCTCCGAAACTTGATTAAGTATTGTTGGTTTTAAATCCTACAAATCCATTACTCTATTTACTTTCAGGAACTCTGTATAGATATACATCACAAATCTTTTTCAAAATCATAGTCATCATAGTCACTTACATCGCAGCTTGAGAGATTCCACAGCGTAGCAGTGACTTCTTCCATCACTTGCACATCACGAGTTTGCCTCAAGAGAGCTGCTAAAGCAACGATTCCACCTGCGCCATTAATAGCACGCTAACAAAAGGAAAAAATTTTTCAGTAAATTTGCAGGATTACTCTTGTGCCCGTATTATTTAAACACTTCCGATTCAACCTAATTATCACTTTGTAGAATACAAATTTACCTTATTTTCATCATTTTCTTTTCCGAACGATAGATTCTTCAAACAACCGCAAACATTTTTTTGTATATCAGGTACATCGCTACCAAGTAGACGAACAAGTTTAGGAATTCCATCCAGTTCTCTGTAAATCAAATTGCTATTTCTAATTAAAGCAAAAACTATTTATAATTTTCATGTATATTTTTCTTTAATCACATGGAACCAGGGAATAAGGTTTCTAGAAAAAAAATTACCTCGTCTCCTCTTTGATAGCATTATCATTATAGGTCAAATGCTGCAAGTAACCTGATGCATTGAGTTGTTCAACCTCATTTGCACTATCCAAATATTCAATGACCTCTCTCAGCGTTGGATCTCTCCAGTGCACTGAAAGTTTCAGAACACCTACTATCACTCAGAAAGTACATCAGAGCATTTTAAAACAATGTTATCTTCATTAAATATTGAAAAGCTAACAACCGTCTCTTTCACGAAGAAATTTCCTGCGTATCGGTGGTGGAGAATCGTCACGATCAGGCAAAGGTGGAGATTCGTGTACAATTTCATCCTGAAGTAATGGGATAGAGCCATAACTTGCTGCTTCCACGTAACAATCATTTCCATCTAAAAAAAATGATTAAAAAAATCATAAAGTCAACAACGCATTTCATTAAAATAACAATCCAATCTTTTTTTTTTTTTCAGAACAAAACTATCAGTAAAGCAATTACTGTAAGATATTCCTATGTGTACTGCTGGCGAAGGATCTGAAGGTACTGAGCAACCAACAGAATTACATGCTATAACGCGGAACTGGTATTCATGACCGGGTATAAGATCGCCAACTGCAGAATAATATTTAAATGCTATAATATACGATTAATTTTCTGAATAGTGTAGCAATAGATCTCGAGTTATAGCGCCCTAAAAATCTTGACATTTAAATAACTACGTTTGATCAATTATTTGAAATGATGATTGGCAAACAGATATTTGTGTAGTATTTATCAGTCGAATCGAATCGCATATTAATGTTTGAAAGAATGGGAAGTAAGAAGAATGTAAAGAATAAAGAATTAAAAGGAGTAAGAAGGTATAATCCTTAAATCACATTTGCATTATGCTTACATTTCCGAGTGACAGAAGCTTCTTTTCTTTGTATCCAAAAAAGTCAACACAATATCAATAAAATCAGAAAAAGAAGAAACTCGTAAAAATCAAATATTCATATTCCAAAATACCTGTCATTTTGCAGGAGCGAATAAGCATTTCATTAACCTTGTACCAAGCAGCATCTTGTTGATGGTCTCGGAATTCAACATCATAGCCCTGAATGGCATCAAAAATCAAAAACTATCCCTGAAGGCAGCCAAAGATGGGAAAAAAGAAGTGTATCTTTTTTCCTTCAGCAATTCCTATTGTTGATAACTTTAGTTTTACCTGTACCGGCAAAGAACTAGCAGCCGGAAACCAGCAGAGTGTTACACGATCGCCGCTACCGAAGTCTACATATTCTGGTGGCTGCGGTTTTGCTGGAACTCCATGCAAGATTCCAGGCTTGATGGACGGTCGCAATTGTACAACATCAGAAACTGCTGAAGGTGCTGATACACTACCATCATGAGCACGCGCAATTATGCGGAATTCATAAGTGGAATTTGGACGGAGACATTCCACTGAAAACATGTCATTCTATTTTTTCACAAAAAATTAGCAGCGAAATCTTATTTCGAGCTATTCCGTAAAAATCATTACAGACTAATCAGCATAAACAAGGTTTCTGAAATTACCAGTATAGGATGTGATACAGACAGCCGGTGTCGCGGTATACCATAATGGATCACCTATTTCCCGATATTCAACAATATATGAAGCTGGAGGATTATCTGGTGATCCACCTTCTGTCCAGTATAAGCGTACCCAGTTCAATTCAAGCTCCTCTATCTATAAAAATGGAAAAATATGCATATAATAGTGATGAAGTTATATTGAAAACGAGTTCATTATCGTTTCGCAATCGGAGTTTTCACGAACCTGTGGTTGTCCAGGAGGAGAAAAGCTACTTTCTGCCTTCGTCCTAGGTGGAACACGAGACGGAACAGGTGGTTTCAATTGGATAAAACCGGACGACAGACTTGGTTCAGATGGGCCATCGGCAGTTTTCGCTACCACTCGGAATTCGTATTCCCCATTCGGCTTCAAGTTCAGTACTGTAAAGCCGAAAGGCAGTTAAGTAACCGAAATACTAAATAATTACCCAACTGTATACTGGTGATCAGAAAGTTGACTGACGAAATTGAGTAACTGATGAATAAAATGTCCATTTATAAAATCTTTTATAGACATCACTCCTGACAGAATGTTAATGGTTGGATACAAACACAACTGGTATATATTGGACTAAATCGAGAATACAAATATATTAGATAAAGTTCAAACCTTCAGTTCTGCATGTTGTTATTAAATGATCATTTGATTGTATCCAACCACTGCCATCTGCACGGTAACTAACCTACAAAAGCGGAAATAAACAAAAAGAAAATCAGCGAACTTCAAAAAAATCTACTGAAATAAGTTACGTCTATGTAACTTATAACAGCAACTTTTCCCCATGTGTTTCAGCAATTCTTATCCAAATTAAATTCATAACATACCTCGTAGCCCGCCACGGGCGCAGAGCCAGGATTCGCGATTGCTGGCGCCCATTCTAATACAATGCGATCAGAATCAAGCAGTAACACGTAAGGTCGACCAGGAGCTGCCCCCCTCCAGCCGTCTAAAAAAGTTGAACCATACAACTCAATCCCAATTGCAAGTTACTATCAAATAACAATGTACGCTTACTGAAATCAGAATGGAAATCATAATCCAGTCGCAGTTGCACACTTGCCGAAGTAGCTGAAGGTACACCA